GTTAATAAGACAATTTTATTGCATTCGTGTTATTTGTGAAGTATATTCTGAAACCAGAGGAAATTCCTTAGATTATAATACATTTAAAAAATATATTAATAATATATCATTTCACAGTCATGTAACAAATAAAACATGTTATATATGTATATTATAACATGTTTCAAATCTAAAAACAAAAATAATAATAATTATCATAACTGATCTTTATCATCAAATTAACTCTTCCCACTCCAAATCATTAAATTCATACCATCACAAGCGTATTGTACTTTTTCGTATGCTATTTATTAATATTTATTTATTATTTTATTTCAAACATAAAATACATTTTTACAAATAGTACAATTATGTGAGATAAATGGATATAAGATAAACATATCTGAAATTTTTTTAAATATTTAAAACTTTAACTTTAAATTAGTTGTTTATCTTAAATTTGACCTAATTTTAATGCGTTTTAAAAACTAATAACAAAATCAAAATAATTTAATTTTCGATTTATCATTAACTTTATTGTTCATTTATATTTTAATGTATAAAAACAAAATTAAATACAGATCGTCTTAGTGTCTTGCTTTATAAATTTATAATACTTACACAATTACACAAATGTTACTTAACTAGTTAAAATTGAAAATAAATATAATTTATAAGTACTGAGAAGAAATTGAATATTTTATACAATTTCACTATATTATTTAAAGTCGAGTTTTTATGTATAATACAATTAATGCTTGCAATTAACCTTGAACTACATGTAGGTCCTTAAAGAAAAAAATTGAAAGTTTTTCTTTCTTGAAAGTATGTTGGGCACAATTACGTTTCGCTTTCACTCAGTTTAATATTAGTGGTATATTATTATTTTAAATTTAAAAACAATGATAAATATTCCAATCAAACCGAAATTTCAAACAGTGTTAAATCACTTATGCTGGAATTGCTTCAAAATGTTTCGACTGGTGTGAATATTTCATAATATACTAAAAACATCAAGTTAATCTACAAAATTATTATTATGGATTAAATAACATATAGCATTGAGCTATTATTGTTGTATACTAGTGACATTTTAATAAAAAAAAAAACTTTTAACATTAATATTAATTAATTTAATAAAACATTTGTATAATATGTATAAAACACTTTACACAAATAAGTAAATTTTAATTTACTTTCAGTTGATAATTAATAAATATTATTCAAGAGTAATAGTTCGCGTGGAGCATTTTAATTTGATTTAAAACATTGTACATTTATTTTAATACTATATTGTGTAACTTTAAACTTATATGTGTACAAATAAATTAACTAACAAATATTTGTCCAGCAAATCAAATATTTTAAAGTGTTAAATAAGAAACTCATAAAATTTTCTATTATTATAATAGTTTTATTTTAGAATGCTTGATTTTTCAATTAGACTACAGTAAAAAAAAATAATCTCAAAAGCAAAATTTAAATACTTATTATTAAGGAATGGATTTATATACAAATGCATATGTGTATTGAATATAGAAATAAGCTTTTTGAAATCTGATAAAAATTGTCCACTATTTAGATCATTCTTATTAAAATAACAGTGATTTTATTTTGCATATTTGTAATTTTATAATACATATTTTTTTTTAGCACATATATTGGTTTTTTGTTACGATCGGTTATTATCACCAGAGATGACATACCCATATCCAAAATATAAATAAATTATATTAATATAAATAAATTCATATTATATGAATTTAGTTCAAGTGTTTGATGGAAACCAATTAACCAATGCTGTATGTCGTACGTTAATTGTGTGTAAAAACTAAAATTACATGTAAAATCATACCAGTTTTAATTTAATATTTTATAGATTGAAGATTAAAAAAAATGTAAAGATAAAATATTTTTGATTAGTACATATTTTATAGCATATTACAGCATCTTTAGGAACATATTTTTGAGAATGTTTTTATGCATATAAATCCATTTTCTATTAGATAACTTATTAATTATAACAATATTTTTAACATATTAAATTACATATTCTGCATGGAACACAATCTTATTTATATTAATTAATCATGTAAATATAACTTGTAATGACGATATTCTTAAAAATAAATCAAACAATAGGAATATTTTAAATTATTAAAGTAACATAAATAATGAATACTTAGAAAAATTATATTTTATTACTGTAACATGAAAGCACGTACCAGACACCATAGATTATCTATTTTTACAAACTAATAATTATTATACATTTAACAATTAGGTAAGTATAATATAATGCACTATATAATACACAATTTTAGACATTTATCAAGCATTAAAAATATTAATAAAAAAACTTGGATCTAAAAATAAATATGAACATCCCAATAAAACAAAAATACCTACGATGGACTCCTTGTTCTTTATTCTGTATACAGTACATATAGTATATACGTATTCTATATATCTGTAAACATTCAATTATTATTAAATCAAAATATGTTTTAACTTTAAAAATAATAATTAACTTTTAATTTATAATCGAATTATAAAATAAATATGCACACTAAATCGATTCACAAAAATAGCTGCTATTACCACAAACATATCTCTTTAATTATATTTTATGTATACTCGCTCTATAGTCATACAATAATATAGGATCTGCTTTTAAAATATAAAAATATATTATTTTAATAAACTAATATGTTATTTAATAATATTAAACTACAATATTAAAAATGTATTTTCAAATATTTATTCGTTCATAATTATCATTACTCATTATTACAAACAAAATATAAAACGATTATAATATCAAATAAAACATAAAACATAATATATAGTTTATTGTAATGAATACAAACAACAAACTGTTTCATTCTCTTTTCATGTATAGTAGTGATATTAAGTAATTATATCATATTATTAATATTTTATCTTAAAATTATTATAAAGAATGCGAATTATATAGATAATAATTTAAATGTTTAATTATATGGTTATGATCAGTATATATATATAGTCAATTATCATGTACAGTGACAGATCAACACTATTATTAGAATAATTAATACTTCGTACCAAATTGTCAAATCTATTTTGTTTAAATTTAATATTCAAAATCGTGCCTTTCAAAAAAAAAAAAAAAAACACAGCTTAATATATGTGGATTTTGTATTACATTTTCAAGTTTTCTGACCGAGTTTAAAAAATTATGACAAATTGAGTATAAACACATTTTTTGCTATATAATTTTTGCTAATATTATTACCTATTATTTATATGTATCAACTATATCACTTTGTATTTGTCATAAATATTATACGTAATATCTTACATTTAACAACACCGTGTTATTTTTAATCTATGTTTGTATACATATTAACATCATATCTTGTATAAAAAATAACCGTCGTTTTGTAAAATAAATTAATACTTAATGTATACAGTGAGTGATGATAATATTATAAATTATATTACAACAGCCACATTCGTCGCCACGAGTATAGTTCCCGTCAATTATGATATTATTATGACTGGTCACGGCTGTAGGACTGGCAAATGGCTGGTGAACGCGTGGGTGAATTTAAAGATCTTTCAATTGACTTTTAGGCCGAAACAGCGGACACCGCCCGACGCGGCTCACTGTGACGGAACTTGGCGCACGTCTTGGCATTCTCTCACTCTCACTCGCAAGCTCATATTCCGTCATTGCGTGACCATCACTATAAATGTAGTCTGTAGACACGACTTACACTCTTTAATATGACATAGTACTGATACGCGACACCGTTTATCAAACTTGTACTGCACTCCGAGTGGCAAATACGCAATAAAATTGCGATAATATTATTAATTTATTACAAGGCTGTCGGACGCCCTGTCTTTCAAAAAAATGCCCCTTTTTTTAGTTCCTTGGATCTTTTACATTGAATATTTTGACCGTGATTTTTTTCCTATGATTCTTATTTACTATACATCATGGCGTGGTCAATATTATATTATAAAAATATTTAATAGATTAGTTTTAATCTATATTTATACGATATCTTGAACCTAGTACACCGGTATTGACGTAAGGCTATGTATTGTACCGTTCGTGTTTAAACATTGATTAGCTAATCAGTGAACAAATGTTAATCCTCGATTAAATTTCTGATTAAATTCGTAATAATAACAGTCTACAGCTATATAATAATATTAAAATAGGTAGTTATAAATATAAAATAGTATGCGATTTATTTTTGCAAAACCTAAGTACAACCTACTGTACTACCGTATAGGTATCGTGACGGTATTACAATGGTACAAAAATTAATCGTTTATAGTAATACAAATGTACAATAATAATAAATATAAAATATCATTTGAATTTTTTGCTAACAGAACCTTCAAATTATGTACTAAATCTCAGCTCACCAAACGTAATCGAACTCGGATCGATTCCAAAAACCGGAAAATACAACATTATACGCATGCGATTACATAACATACGAATTTACGATCTCGAGCAGGTATCGACCACCGTCGAAGCATCGAATGCTACACGAAAAGTTCAAAAAGTCCGTATTATAACCGCGGGCAAAGCAGTGGCTGTTATTGGTCGATACTCGATAGCGGTAAACGGCAAACGCCGTCGCCGAAATGAGTATTAACACAGGTATTAATGAGTACAGTCTTGTTGCGTTGCACAACGGCATTCGGTAACCATCGGTAACTACGACGGTAACCACTCTCTAACCGCCCGTTATTTGAAACAGGTACACATTCCGCAGTGCATTCCGATCCGATTGCCTATCGCAAACGCGTCAGCGCTTCCCCTTCACCGTGTTCAATCGCCACCACAATCGCTGTTATTGACATAATGATAATAATAATATAATCTCGGTTTTTGCGTACACGCACTGCACTACTGCCAACTGCAACTACTACCACTACAACTGCAACAACGTTCCGTGATACTATAACTCTGCTACTCAACGAACGTAATTCGTCGGAAGTGCTCGGAACCACCTCTACCACCCACCGATAACAAGAGATTCTACTCGCGTCCCGTTCATCGAAAATACATTCTACGTGTGTGCGCCACCGTCCAGTGACTACGTTGTGTGAATGATCTGAGCGTAAAACGGTATCATCGTCGTCGTAACACTCGTAACCCGTGTTGGTCGTCGCGTGTAATAATAATAATAATAATAATAATAACAATATTAATACTAATAATTATTATTATTATTTGTAAAATATTTGTTATTATTAAATACCTACAAGTTACAAGCCTAATAACATTTCAGTGTATGACGAATGACGATTATGTCGGTACCGAGCATGTTTTATTAGGTGATCGAGAGATACCTCTACGCGGTGCAGTATAATATTATCGTTCGTTTTGTTTTCGCGTTTCGTTCTACTCATTTCCCCGCTCCAACGCTATAATAATATTATTGTATAATGCCGTCCGTTTTGCAAACGCCGCGCATTTGATATTCAGCATATTATTATTAGCACCGTTGTCGTCTACGCCACCGCAGAATACGCGTGCTAGACCGTCGAATTGAATAAAACGTAAATTAAATATATAAATACCAGAACGAAATCGCACTTCCGCACTGAAGCCATGGCCGAGGCCGTCGTTTTCGACTTGGAATTGCAAAATAACGAGACTCAACCCGCCAACGGGCCAAAGAACAACAGCGATTCTGACGACGAAGTGCTCGAAATCGAAGAGGTAAGACAATAATTATTATTGGCATATACTATAAGTTGTATCGTTATTTCTTCAGTATCTGTGCAGTATAGATCAACAAATACCCGTGTATTTACCTAGGTAATTGATAGTTTTGTTTTTTTGGTGCTTTAAGTATTTGACTACTTTGTTTCTATTTTATTTCTTGGTATAACTTGCTTGTAATCAAAAATTACTGGCTTTCACAATTTCCCACTTGTATATCTATTATATAGTAATCCAATTACTATCATAATTATATGCACACTTAGTTGGTGAACTGTGATTTTTCAATTTCCTTATATTTAACACATGATCATCCTTTAAGCTCACTTACATGCGTTTTACATGTGATTTGTTTTATTTCAGTACAATTAATATTATAGATTTTTAATATTGTCTCATGAAAAATTATTAATAAATGAAAATACATAAATAAAATTTAGATACTTTTATGTTAAACATCTGTTTAAATATAATGGTGTTAAATATTGCTTCATAATTATTCTTACTAATATAAGTCATTATAGGTTACTTTCTTGAATAATTTTAATTAATATAATATATATTATATATTATGTTATAAATAATAAATTATCTAAATTATTGAATCTTCAATAGATTTTAATAAGTACTATCAATTTGAAAAATTATAAAATATTTAAAACAGTAACCTATAATGATCAATATTGACAAAAATAATTATTAAGAAATATTTAACCTAGTCTTTATAATTCTGTGGTTTAAAGTACTAATTTTTATTATTATTAACTTTCTGCAGGATAAACGTACAGATAATTTACAGTTTAAAATTATACAATTATTGAATATATTTTAATAATATTATTTACTTAGGTACTTATGTTTAATTTTTTTTTAAATTATTCTTAAAATAAAGTTTTATGTGCAGTAGATGCCTGTGTAATTTAAAAGTTTAAAAATGTTCATAAAATATATACCTAGTATATTCAAAATTAAAATAAGTATTCAGTAATTAAGACTTTGTTAAGTAGGTACCTATTGAATACAATTTAATTTATCTAAAACAAATATTAACTCTTTGTTATTCTGTTATGTACAGATTTTATTATACACGGTTCATACAATTATTATAGTATACCTAATACAAAATTATTTCTTTATCAATAATAATAATTAGAAATGTTACCTTCCAGAATTAGTTAAGTATTATTTCACTTGCAACTTATAAAATAAAATATTGTATACTTATATGTCCCTATACTTTTTTACTCTTCATTTAAACACTATTTACCTATTTTTATAAAATATTAATAAGACTATTGACTTTTCACAAACATGTACATTTTTTTCAATTCTATTGGTAAATTCTAATTTTATTTATTTACTTCTCAATTTCAAGTTTTAAGTAGATATCTGATTACTAAATATTATTAGATACTCTAGTCTATACCTTAGTTTCTACCTACTGGCCTCTTCAATCAAATTCTATATTATGTTAACAAGATTTTTCTTTGTGTAATATAATACTTAAATAAGTAAAGTTTTTATCGATGTAACTATTTTATTTTCTATCCTTAAATTTATATTTACAATAACTAGTTTAAATACATATTTTATGTTAATTTTTTTTTCTTAAATAAAATATTAACTAAACTTTCATTGTAATATTGTACAATAGTCAGAATAATAGTTATTATCCCTGTTATTATTTCTTAACCATTAAAATTTTCTCAGTAAATTGAATAGATAAACTCTAATAGAATAATACTATCCATTTCAAAGTAGGTATACTTATTACTTAGAAATTATGTTGGTACAATGTTACCTAGCTTCTTAATAAATAAGATAAGATTGTTAAACAAAATAATATAATATAGGAACCCTATCTATTTTGCACTTGGATAGCATTAGTATTAAATAATTTGAGAATGGATTACCGATTAGTTACCAATTATCAAAACTTTCAAAATTATAAACAATATCAATATTAATTGTCACCTTATTGACCTTGAATATATTTTATTACAATTACCTATTGGGCACCATTGACATTTTTTTTTACTTATCTGTATATTGTACATTTGTATCTAGTAATATTAGGTACTTTAAACTTCAAATTTTATATTTTGTTAAATAAAATTTAATAGATAAACATAATACTTAATTAATACACACTACCATGTAAAATGTTTAATATGAATACTAAAATATTGTTTTCTTGTTTATACCTCATAATATACTTATTATTATATAGAGTGGCCTTTATATGTTCATTTCCAGGTTCATATTTTTTTTTCTTAACAACTGCAGAATAATGGAAAATCATAGTCCTTCCTCCCCCCCCCCTACTATATATTAACTTGAATAAAATCAAAAATTATTTTTATTTTCTTAAAACTCATAAATTATAAAATTTAATAATTCCAGTTATGTAACTACCTACTATAAATTAATATTTTACTTTTAAATTCTTCAGTATCTATTTTTAAAAATAATTTTGGGTATCAATTATAACTAATAATTAAAAATCATTATTAAATCTAACTAATTATAAATATTAAAAATTGTTGTTGGTATTTTATTGTCTTTAAATCGTCCGATGTTTTATCTTAAATTGAAATTCCTAATATTACACCTAATGATCAACAGTCAATAAACCATATGCTTTTATGATAAAAAATAAACTGATATGATAGGAACGTTTTCAGTTATTTTACTAATAATATAATTATTTATTAATATCATTATTACTCACACAGTCATACTCATATATGTATATATATTTATGTGTGTCTATATTTATATTAATAAATAATTAAAAAATATTGTAGATAGGAATTACATAAAATGCAATGCTAAATTATTTTAGAAAGATCTTTCATGATAATTAACATACTACTAAAATTTACTACTTACAAATCATAAACTTGAATTTGTGAACTATTTTTATTGTGTAACTATTTTAGTAACATATAATATTGATTACAAACAAAGCTATTATAATATTATTTAATCAATATTATTTTTATAACATTTTATTTTTAATAAATAGGCAATTGTTAAACATTTATATACATGCACATTGAATGTTAATTGCTCATAGTAATTATAATTTCAAGATAATGTAATAAAAATTATTGATCATTCTACTTACAAAGTTATGACTCAATAATAATTAATATTATTTAATTTTACATCATTTAAATGTATACAATATATTATGTGTGTGTGTATAATATATATGTATAGGTAATATAACTTTATCAACTTACATGCATTTGTTATGTATTTTTGTTCTGCAATAAATTTTAATATTATTTCAAAAAGAGTTTCTTACATTTGTATTAAATACATACAATTATTATTAACATTTTCAATAATATCCCTAACCTAATATTTCAAATTTTTAATTATATAAAAAAAACACTGAATAAGCTTATGTTTTAAATATATTCAATTAACATAATTGTTATCGATGATATAGGAGTTCCTATGTTTTCGGTCGTTATCTGTGCCTTGACATATTATCATATGTGTGTATAATCACACACATATGCAAATAAATTTAAATTTGAACTAAGATTTTGATCTATTGTGGAAATATTGGGAGAAATATTACTGTATATGTCCAAAATAAGTGTTATACAGGTTGAAATACCTATCCTTTCGCTAATACTTTTAACATTTTATCCATTGAAAATGGTGTCTGTTAAGACAAGTTTCACTGTACCTCTAATATATTTATATCTGCTATCTAAGTTCCTATTGTATTTTAAATTTTTTTTATTGTTTTTTAGGCATGTTATGCTCAAGAACCAAACATTTATGAATATGATGAAAAGTAAGATAATTTTTTTGTATCTTGTATATTCAAAGTATATTTTGATTTATTATTAGGTATTATTTTCAATAATATTAAACATTTTTTTTTCTATTTGTATTAAACATGTTCTCATACAGAAATATGAAAATTCTTATGTGTCTGTGCTTATAATATTTTATCATTAATGATATTTCATATTCCATTATAATTTAAAATTAATCTGTCTTTTCTTACAATTAAATAAAAAATGTAATCCGTTAAATGTTTTATTATACTTTTTTATATTATTTATTAATCTAAAAGTCTAATCAAATTCTTAAATTATAGATCCAGTGATGTAGAGACATTAAAGTTATCAGATAGAACTGTCAACTCTACCAAAGAAAAGTTAACTCCAGATTGTTTCGAAATATTGAAAGTTTTAGGAAAAGGAGGTTATGGAAAAGTATTTCAGGTTCGAAAGAAGACTGGTAATGATACAAATCAAGTTTTTGCCATGAAAGTCTTACGTAAGGCCACAATTGTCAGAAATTCCAAGGATATGGCTCATACCAAAGCAGAACGCAATATACTCGAAGCTGTTAAGGTTCAAGTTCAATTTTGTTTATACAATATTTTTATGGCTGCGCAGAAATTAGTTTACAAAATACTCAATACTCTTACTCTACTTTTTTTATTTGTGTTAAAAGGTTAAATATGGATTAAAACAACTTGCTTATGTATTTTAATTTTTTTAGCATCCATTTATAGTCAATTTGTTCTATGCATTTCAAACAAATGGAAAACTTTATCTTATTTTGGAATATTTAAGTGGTGGAGAACTTTTCATGCATTTAGAACGAGAAGGAATATTCTTAGAAGACACAGCCTGGTATTTCACTTTGTTTATTATTTTATTTATTTATTATTATTAAATAGTTGTATAGTAATGACTGTGGAACCTTTACAACAAATTAATATAAACTATTTAACTATTACTATTTAATTTGATAAGAACATTTATTTAATAATATATTCAATTGTGTCAAATTTAGTTCATATTAAAACAAGTGTAAATATTAAATGTGTTAGTGATAAATGATAATATGTAAGAATGTAATTTATTAGATTTCATCATTTATAAAAGAATTAGGTCATTCCATGTCAAATTGACCTACTGAAGTAGCTACCTTAACCTTGAGCTGCATTTTTATACAGTTATATTTTTAGTATTCAGAGAGAATTTGAATATAAAAATGTCGGTATAGTACACCACCAATATAATAAGTGGTGGTAAATATGTGATATGTTACCACTTACTGATTATATATAATTTTAATTTTCAATTAAGTTTTGTACCAAAAAATATTTCTATTATCAGTTATCATTTACTTCTATCACTAATTTCATTGATGTGATATGGTTAGTTGATGAGTGAAAGTGTATCACTAAGTATAATACTTTCAAACAATTCAAACCACCTCTAGTAATATCTTGTGGTGTATATGATATAAAAATTATAATGATTACTGCAGTAATATACTAAAACATTGAGTGATTTCTGTTTAAAGTTATATTCAATGTTAATGTAGATTAAAAATAAAGTGTTAATTATTATTTTCTTTCTCGGCTGAATTTTAATTTTCAGAAAACAAAACACTTATCATATCCTAAAAATAAAATTGAATGTGTCTTGCATTTTTTTAAGGTTTCACAGATTACTACTGATTTAATTGAATTAAAAGTTGGTTTATGATTAGCCCATTTAATTTTCTTATTATGTATTGATATTAGTACAATTTTAATATTACAGCTTTTATCTGGCAGAAATTATTATTGCAATACAGCATTTACACAGTCAAGGCATAGTTTACAGGTATTAATTTATCCAAAAATATATCAGTTAACATTCTTAAGTATATTTATTTATTATGTTTATTTAATGAATTATAAATTATATTTCAATTTTTGAATAATTAAAAAGTAAGAAATATTTTATATACATCTTCATACAGTTTTGAGGCTTAAAACTATTAATAGCATTTAGAAATTTATTATTTTTCTCTAAAAATTATAATAAAAAATTATTATTTAAAACTTGATTATTAACCATGTGCACTTGGTTGATTTCATTGTAAATTATACTACTTCACAAATCCTTTAAAAGTATTTTGCTTATGAATTAGAATTTAAAAAAATACCAAAATGAAAAAATTTGCTATTTTATACAATCTTACATATAATTATATTATGAAATAGTATCTAATTGTATGATTTTTCTTGTCTCAAATATAAATTAAATTAAATTAACTATAGTTTAATATTATTACATTATTTTTATTTTGACAACTTTTAATAGTAATTATGGCTTATATTTGTGTATTTAGAGATTTAAAACCAGAAAATGTATTATTAGACCAAGACGGTCATTTAAAACTGACTGATTTTGGTTTATGTAAAGAACATGTTCATGGAGTTAGTGTTACTCATACATTTTGCGGTACAATTGAATACATGTAAGAAATTTCAAACATAAGTCAAAAATCATTCAAAAACCATTAATTAAATAAATATTATATCAGGGCACCAGAAATTTTGACTAGGAGTGGTCATGGAAAACCAGTTGATTGGTGGTCACTTGGAGCTCTTATGTTTGACATGTTAACAGGAACAGTAAGTAATGTTAAACTTAATTATGAGTATTATTACAATTTTAATTTGTCCTTACCTTCTAGCCACCTTTTAGTGCTGATAATAGAAAAAAAACTATTGAAAAAATACTTAGAGGGAAACTTATAATGCCACCCTATGTATCTCCTGAAGCTAAAGATCTTATGAGAAAATTACTTAAAGTAAGTTAAAAACAAATGTATTTAAAATTTAATTGTTTATATTGTTTTTACAATATAAACTTAATATTATAAATGCTAAATATATATATATGTGTATATATTAGATAGCTATTTTAAGAAAAAAATAACTTATAAATAATATTTAAATATTTTATTATATTTTGTTAATAACTATGTAAATTAACTGTGATTAAGTTGAAATTGTTTTTCAAATTTACAGAGACAAGTTAGCCATAGACTAGGTTCTGGTGTAAATCAAGGAGAAGACATACGAAATCATCGTTTCTTCCAAAAAATTGTCTGGAAAGATATAATAAACCGTACTTGTGAAGCTCCATATAAACCCAAATTAGTAAATTTAATTGATTTTCACTTTTTGAATATAATCGTGTATTTATAAAGTTATTTAATTTAGAATGGTGCAGACGACACAACACAATTTGACTCAAGATTTACCGATCAGCTTCCTGTTGATTCACCTGTTGAAGATTCATTAATGCCACAAGATAATGATGAATTTAAATTTGATGTAATTATTTACTGTTTTGTTTTTGTGTACATTTATTGTGATATTGCTATTATTGATTATAGTACAACATTTATTATTTACTAATATAACCTTTTTTCATACATATTTAATTATTTTAAACTTAATTTAGTATTTATCTACTACTTTATCATCAATATTATTTATTTTTTTCAGGGTTTTACATATATAGCTCCATCGTTATTAGACACTCTTGGTACAAGTCAAGACCAAGCAATATGTACAAATCAACATTATAAAACAAAAGAAATAGAAAAGCCGATGGAAGACGAGGATAGTTTCCATAAGAATGTGATGCCAAAAAAACAAAAACTCGAAACTAGAATACAAAAATCAGCACCCACGCCTATGGTTCAAACTGTATTATGTGACTCTAGAAGATCCACTGATCAATTTCAAAGAGGGGTACTCATTAATGTTTACCAAGTTACATTTTAATAAAAATGTACATAACTTTTTTTTTTTGTTATCAGCATGTTCCACGGAATCTTAACCCATTCAGTGATTTTGAACCAATTGCATCAACGTGTGCTCAGCTATCTGCTACCCGAATTGATGAAGAAATGGAAACCGATAAGTCATCTCCATCATTGTATCCAAATGTAGCAAGATCCAATCCCGTACCAGTTTATCAACCCCGAATTGTGCAAGCTGGCACCACAAATCCTAGAGAAATAGATCAATCAAGGTTGTTTGATGCATGTGCTCGACCATTCAACAATCACTCTGCTAGGAAACCATACAGACCTCATGTGTTGACAACAGTCAATAGCAATAATTTCCTGAATCAAAACCAAGATGAAATGATGGAAGTTGCTTCTACGTCTAGTATACCGGCTCAAATTTAATTAATTAGGTAAATGAAGGTTATTTTACAATTAATTTTCTCTAATTTATTTATTGACATTGAACATTTTCAGGGTAATCAATGTGTTTAGAAGAGACCTGTTTCCAAACCAATCATAGTTACCTTGTTGGTTATAGTGCTATTTTCTGGTAGATCTTGGCTACTTTTTACTTGTGGCCTTAAGGATCAGCTAATTTTATAAGAAGTTTTATGCTAATTTGGCTTGATTTAAAGTGATAATTTTTACAGATTTTATAATATATAAGGTTATTTACAATAGAAGTTAAAAATGTTAACATTTCCAAAATTGAAGGAAATGTTCTAACTTTATAATTAAGTTATACTACAATATTTAAATTGAATGTTCATGTTTTTTTTCCAATAAGTTTTTGAAATTTTATTATTTCTAATATATTATATATTATGTGTATTAAGTGTAAATTATTATTAGCCAAGGTTTATCTGATCTTAAATAACATTCAATTAAAAAATGTATGGTTGGGGTGATATTTTGATTTTTTTTTTTCTGGCAGACAAGGAAATAGTTCTCTTTTTAAATATTAATTTGACCATTTTATTTTCTACCGTAATAGAAAAATATTCTGTTTATTTGGTTTAATTATCTTATTATGTTAAGATTATCGTTATTTAGCTAAATTATAAATCGAGTGTTTTATTTTAGTTATTATTCTTATTTAAGTAGATTTTTTTGCCTATTATAATGTAAATAATGAAAACTAGATAATTGTATGAAATTAATTGATTATTTAGAAATATTTTCTCTAAAAAAATTTTCAAACAAAGATATTAGAATAACATTTTGAACTGAAAGTGGAAGCTTGGTATTGATAGAAAAATATTGATACGAACCATCCCACAGTTCTTAATATCTTGAATAGACTTTAAATATTTGTCAACCATCTATTTTATTATTATAATTATGTATTAATAATATATACTGTTATAGTCATACAATATTACGTTTATATATATATTTTTCTAATCTCTAATCAAACACATAAATGAATTACAAACATGTTTGTACTAATATGAAACATTAGGTTGCTACTTCTATGGTTTAAAATATTTATTATTATTTTTCTATTACACTTTGTTCAGGCGTTAATATTATTTTAGTGAACTCTTGTATAATTATTAAATAGAATTTTAAAATTGAAACAAGTGTTTTAGAAAAATCACCAACAATGAATTCAATATTGTAGTTTCATTCTATTTTTATCAAGTCTATTAATCTGTAGGGAAAGGGGGTAGATTAAAAGGTAATCTTGACAACAATAATATTAATTATTGTTGTTTGAAGATAATAATTATAAATATCTCATAGTTTTAATACTTTTCAATTTTGTGATTTTTCAAACTAAATATTTTTTATTAATGTTAATGTTTTTACCAAACCATTCATTATGAATATGAAAATGATGTATAAACAATAATACAGCATTAAAAACCATTTACTTAAAAGTTGTTTAATTTCTGTATACAGATATTTTAATGAATTTTGAAACGAAACTACTGTGTTCATTGTAAAGAATCATATATTATTAATAAATATCTTTATGATTACTAAAAGGCTGTACTGTAGCCTATTATCATATTCCAGTAAAATGGTGTTAATCGATTGTATAATTATTGATAATAAATGATTGTTTTATTACAAAAGTTATTTCCATAAATTAGACATGATTTTTTTTACCATTGTGCTATTGTCACGTAATATTAAGAGAAAATAAAATGTCAATGATAAAAAGTTGCATTATTTATTATGTTAATTTGTTACAGAATTATAATTATATCAATTAATATATTTTGCGTATTTCTTTTTACTTGCATAATTTTTTTTTTTTTTTTCGTTTATTTTAGTGAAAATTTACAATCTACTCATACAAGGTACAATAAATGAATGAGTGATATTACGATATAATAAGGTATAGTGAAAAATAAAATATTGAGTAGGAGTTACACGTCAAAAACTCCTGAACAAGAGTAATAATTTTATTTTAGGGAGAAATAATATTATACACGTTATGTGTGATAAACATACATGATTTAAAATCGGAAACATCTATCCTTCAGTCCCGACTAAAAATAGTAAGCATCGGGGAAAACAAAAATGCACGTCAAGTGTGCAATTATACAAATACTGCATAGTAATTCCAAGTAGGAAGACATTGGTTAAAAATGTCTGGACGCTTACAAAAAATCTATGTTCATGATTTGATTAACATGGCATAATCCTATGATTAATAATTATGCACCATCGGGTAACGTGTCGCGTACTAATGCGAGAGAGACTCCAGATTGTGTCATGACTTATTATGTACCTATATTAATACCAAGACTTTGGTCATGCGACATGCATTAAGTATTTAGTTATGTACACATTCTATAGTAAACTAAAGTTTTAAAGTTTCAACAGCTATCTAGCACATTATTAAGGCAAACTAAAATTTGAATACCTATCTAGCTAAGACGGCGTACCTAGTGAAAGAATGTTTTAAATTTAAATTTATCATCTAAAATCTAAAACCTATCGTTATTATCACTTACGTTCTTACATGTTGTAAGATATTACAACGTGTATTATATTATGCAATATAGAACTATTAGAGCTTAGTTATAAGCCCGCCACTTAATGTTTGTCTGTAAACGACTTCTATTTGGTGTTTTTACTTTAGACATTTTAAAATTATATTAAAAATCAGTAGAGACAATTTTAAACGTAAAACTCACGACACTGACTGATCAATTTCCGACTTCTGTCGAACACTTGAACAAAATTATAAATTATAATATAATACATTAACAACAAATTTATCTATAGAAAAATGTATATGTTGCATATGAGTATATCATCTTAGTTTTGGAAATAATGACTGGTCGTAATTTTATCTATAAACCGTGGCTGTAACTGTTAAAATACGTAAAAAATAATAGTAGGTATACACTATAAAACTACAAATATGCATTTAGTAGGTAAAACCGTTGCGAAATATGCAAAATACAATTAGTCTTATTTTAATAATAAGAATAATCTAAATCGAGGACAGTATTCTCATCAGATCTCAAAAAACTTATTTCAATACATTTATGCATTTGCATATTAATCCGGTCTCTAATTTTTTTATTAATATTACAAAAATAATTTCTTTGTTAGTTTTTAGCGATACAGAAAATATTATAATTAATAGTACATTAAGTAATATAGGTAGGTACATAATCCGTTATACAAATGTTTTATTTTAGAATCCTTAAGAAGAAACCTATAGTAATTAATGCATATAAAATCATTAAAAACAAAAATTTCAAAAATATTTTAATAATAGATACCTCCTAACTTGATGTTTGATTTCTGCAGTTGATTTGAATTACCTAGTTATTCTTAAACTAATTATAAAATTAACCAACTTCAGTTAAGTAAAAAAAATTAATTCTTTTTTAATTATAATGTAATAATACCCACTTTTAAATATTACATAAATACTTAATACATTTACAATAAATATATAAATTAATAATTGATAATCGGTATTATACGTGACATTTTGTTATTTTTTTTTTTTTTTTTGTTGATTTCTTTTGCATGTGTAAATTACACGTTAAAAATGTTGCTTTTAAATAAATATGAGTATATATATATATGGCTTTGAAAAACAATATAGTTAACAGAAAAATTATAATAATCAAATTCATAAGTGTAAGCGTACAATACACAATTGATGGTTTCTATAGGTACCACATTAAGTTTCGCGTTCGGTCTACTATTATTGTTGATATTATGTATAGAGGGTGTCGACTGTGTTCGTTAACACGCATCCATGTTAATTGTTTGGAAAATTAACATTGTATTAAAACCTAATCAAGGTAGAGTTACGTAAAATAATAATATTTTTTAGACATTTTTGGTTTGCTAATATACATTAAAAAATTAGTTTCCAACGTTTTCTGGAAAAACGTTGTGTTATGAAACTTATATTAAACATAGGTAGTTACATGCGTGTAAACCTATTTAAAAAGTTGAACCATCAGTTTTCATTTAGTAAAACCATATATTCATATCATGTCAGCTTCAGACTATTCATAGTTCTAACCTTTATTAATCTGAAGATTTCTTAAACCTAGACGAATAAAAGGTTAGGTTTAGGTACCCAATAGAGCAAGGATGAACTCAAAATTAAGAGATAGTTTTAAAAATTTTAGCCTCGCGAGCTCGTTTAACGAATGACCGTAAAAAAAAAGCTCGCCGCCAGTTATCTTTCCCTGCAGATATAGTAGATCATAAATATATATTACTGATTTACATGTGTATCTTTCACCGATGTACAAGGTGTCAACCTGACAGATGAGACATCCTGTAGACATAAATATGATTTTGAGTATATTTTCACGGTTTTTTTCACAATTTTTACACCACAACAGTAATTGCGGTACTTAACATGCCAGGTGTTGTCGACTATTGTTCGCGTCATCCACCGCGTTCGGTAAAAGTTGTAATAATCGGGTATAAAAATACATAACTTGTGTTATTCTGCGAGTACTGTACAAAAAAGCTCAACGATGGCTTACATCCAAATATTGGCGATCGTGCTGTGCTCTTGTTTCGTACAGGTAAATTCAAATAAAATCAAATCAATGCCTGTACCTATATTATTAAACGTGAAAACTTTAATAAATGATATATAGGTAATTTGGTAATAGAAATCTTTATAGTTATGATCTATTATATATTAATATGTGTATTTTGTATTATTCAGTAGGTATTAAAAATATTTATATAATAATTATTCGGTGTAGGTATATGATAAATAGTTACCTATGGCCATAGAGTTCTAAATGTATTTTTATTGAGTATTATGGTAGTATTTTCTATAGAAAAGTTATTTTAATGCTCATAAGTTGAGTCATAACAATATAATATAATCGAAAAAATAACTAAAAATTAATAATACTATTAAATATAATCATATTATAATTACGACGTTGCTTTAGCTGACTTAAAATTCTTAGTAGATAATTATTAGGTATCAAATAATATTAAAATAAATTATTTAAATTTTAAATTAATATTTACTGTCCTACTTAAAAGTTATTATTTTTGTATATCTAACCAGTAATAAATACAATTTTGGCAATGCACCTCATCTCCGGGATCCGTGTATTCAGACACGATAAATAAGTATAATATATAATATTATATAAGACGTGGTAATATTATAAAAATGTAATCTATGTATTTATTTATACCAAATCTGCATCAGAGTTAAGACGCTTTGCCGCAGAAATCACGCAAATCCGGATCAAAATAATTATTCAGGCTCCATTATGAAATGAAAAAAAATTGTATTTTTATCTAGCTTAAAGCCCACCTCCCCTGATCCCCATCATCACTTGATCCTGGTTTCGTTTGCTGCCGTATGATGTCGGCATTTTCGGTCAAGCGACAGGACGCGTCCGAACGTTGTATTCGTTTCTCGGATCTCGTTAGAAACCCACCATTTGGACGTTTTCGTGTTGCAGGACGCGTTTTCGGCAACCAAAATTCAAAAATCGAGATCAGCGGCTCAAGCAAATGGCGTGGTGTCCCAGCAGTTGCCGGGTGCTGCCGGCGAGGCAGCTAAGATGCAGCCGATGAAGCGGACCACAACACTGAAGCGGATCGTGTCCCGAAAAGTGGTCGCGCCACCCAAGTACCCACACCTGACTGCTGTGAAGGACAAGTTCTGGAAGTCGTGGGAGAACATCAACCAGACCAAAACAGGTAAGCTGAACACCAGAGCGATTAGGAACGCGTTAAACGACATACTCGTCAACGATCGGTTCTGGTGGTCGGTAATTTCGGCGGTCAGGAGGCGCGCCAAGGTGACCAACGACAGTCAACGGGCCGAAAATAAGATCCGGATGTGTAACGCGTTCACCTCCACCATCACCAGCCCGAACGCCGTGCAGGGCTTCCAGGACATTGTGAACGAGGTGTACGGCACGGTGACCAGCTTCCGGTCGGACTTGGCCACAGACGCCCTGCAGATAGCCACCGATATGGTCAACACTGGCGAGGTGACCAACAGCCTGGACGCGTTGAGCAAAATCGTGCATTACGTGAAGCTCAGCCCAGAAATGTTGAAAAAGATGTTTGCCATGTTCCACAAGACGCTCAACATGGGCGGCAGGATAAACATGGGCGGTGGTATAGCCAAAAGTCTCATGTCGATCACGTCCAAGTTCAACAAGTAGAGCGCGAGCCGCCGCGCTTTAGTGCCTTCCTATAAGGTTGTAAGATAGAGATGTATAATACAGTCATCGCGTCATCTCTGTGTAATAATCATAGTAATAATAATAATAATAATAATATAGTTTGTACGCATGCGTAATATAGTAAGTATACTTCTTACAGGTACTATAATATATATTTGAGCGTAAACGACAAAGCATATATCTATATATTATATTATAATATATTAGGTACCTCTTATTATATAATATTTACCGGTTATACATATGCATCAGAGCAACGACGTTCATCATATTATATATATATATATACATATAATATATTTATACTTATCTACGCTTTAATACGTAGGTACATTTTATGTTCTATGCCGTGTTAACGTGTTGTAATATCATATTGTTCAAGTAATTATTATTGCTCCCGCACGTCATTGCACGCAACCATAATATACGTGAAATACCTGTACAAGATTATTATTGAATATTTAAATATAATACTGTTAACACTACTTAGACTCGATTTGTTTTTTACGCTTTGTGCAACGACAACATAATAATAATTTCTCCTCCTCGCGGACAACTGCGCACTGTCCCCAACCCACATGGGTCTGTACGATTTGACCTCTGCTGACTTCTGGTATACGATACCATTATATGGTCGATGGGTGCACGTGGTATCTGCACGCGTCATATTACGTCCCTTCCGCCATTGCGTGCGTCGTCGTACAACTCCAAAAGCACAATTTCCACGATTCGATTTCACGCACAATTTTATTCGTATTTTGAACATCGCTTTATTTCGTGACGAATTAAATGTTATACCATATTTGCACCCCTCTATAGGTATACAACTTTAAATATATATATGTGAGTGTGTATACGGTTGTACATGATACAGTCCCTGTTTTGTTATAAGTGTTTAGATATATTATAATCATAGAATTCATAGCGTAGGTAATACGCGTCATCCAGATGCCCTAGAAGAGTAGGATCATCGCACGTACACATGAACCATGGAAACAACGATCAATGCGCATCAGCTGACCAGTAAAATAGAGAAAATACCTACCATAGAAGAGCCCAATATGGGCCTTCACGCCAGTCTATGGGGAAAACTGTACTTTTTAGAAAATTATTTATACACTTGAAATGTTTTTACAATTTAAATAAAAAAAAAAAAAAACATTTAGAAATATTTCGGGCCTACTGTTCAAACTAAAAAAATATTACTTTCGCTTAACTATTTATTTTTTAAATCGTACCGTTATTTAACAACAAAAATAAAATCTTAAATCTCGTATTAAGCCTCAATAACAGCAAGAGTTCTTCAAGGTGCCATGTCTCCTCCTATTCTGTTCAATTTGCACTCGGCCGACCAACCGATTATCCTTCACACTTCCGTTGCGGATTTTTCCGACGACAAAATTATCTATTCCTCACACAAAAAACCTATATTAGCTTCTTATAACATACAACATCATTAAAACCTCATCCTCGTGTCATCCTAGCATACTAAATGGAAAATAAATATTAACCATAAGGAATCTTCACATTTGATTTTCATCTTAAAAAAATGACTAGTACCACCTGTCACCTTAAATAATCACAACGTTCCAAAACCAACAAGTTCTGGCTACTTAGGACTAATCCTAGGCCAACGCCTTACCTGAGTTGGCCATATAAAAAGCAAACGAATCTTAACTCAAAACAGAAATATCTCTGTTACTTACTACGACTGTAAACAGTCTAATCTCAGCATAAAAATAAAGCTAATTATTAATAAAACTCTATTGATACCTATATTTGGGACATGCGGCAGCCAACTCTTAGGGAGGCGGTCAAAAAATCAAACATAATAAACAAAATTCAAATTTTCCAATCCATAACTCTTAGTAGGTATAGTTAGCAGCTATACAATTCATATTTCTTTTCAGAATTTAAATTGTCTCATTTTAAGAAGTTGACAGTTGACGACTCGTTTGGCTTTTTTCTTTGGTGTCGGTTCTAGCAGCGAACCGAATGACATGTGTATATTGCCTAACTGAATTTATTTTAGGAGGTATATTTTGTTGGCAAAATATTTCCGTACTAATACCATAAGTAGGATTAACTTAAATCGACTGTACAAGTACAACTGTATAAGTGTAAACGATCATTACGATCATATCTACGTAAATGACCAAGTGCGGTATAATATTATGTTCTTTTAATAACTATAATATATGTTTGTATTTTTTATAAATACAAATAATATTATAAACGAACAGTAGGTATTTTTTTATTAACTATTAACTATTAAAAAGTGATAAAAACTAATATAGTCAACTCGTGATATAACGAATGAAATTACCGGTTCCTTGAAAATATCACGATATAACAAAAAAATGTATTGTATTTTGGTCTCCTCGATATAGCGAAGCTTTTTTGATCAAAACTCTCACGATGTAACCAATTTTTACAAGTTTGGAGCTTGCTATAACGAATTTTTAATTTTAATTAAGATAAGATACATGTCTCTAATGTATAACTCAATGAAAAATATATAAAAATAAATATATTGCTATTTTAAAAATAATAAATGAACATGTTTAATGCATAGCGATATTATTATATTAAAAGCAATATTATTATTATAGCATATTTTTACTAGCAATATTATTACACATTAAAATTGAAATTAAACAATCAATACATACTTATAAGACTCATATATTTTATACATATGTATGCAATTAAATACAATTATTAAATAAATATGAATTTGTTTTTTATTGATTTAAATTTTGAATTTTTTTAACGAATTTAAGAGGTATGTTATCTTGAAATAACGAATTTCGATGTAATGAACTTTCGATATAACTAATTTTTTTCACGGTCCCTTGAAATTCGTTTTATCACGAGGTGACTTTAGTTTAAGAAAATATTATGTAGGGTGCACTTTCACCAGATTTCTTATAGACAAAAGCCACCTATCATTATACAGTATGTTCCAATTTTGCTTCAATAATGATATACAAACATAGGATAGCTATTGAACTTTTGATAGTAAGGCTAAAATGTTTTATGTTATAAATGTACTTAAACATTTAGGTAAGTATAAGTGAGCTACATTTGACTTCAATATTTACAATGACAATTTATGGGATATTGGGATATTTAAGTACTATATAAAATTGCTTAGGTGAATAATTCTTTGAGTCTTTCAAAGACTTTTGAATAGTGTAAGTGTTAAGAAAATGGTCAGCAATCAACTGAATAATATGACTTACATTTTGAAATGATATGATGAAAATGTTTAAAAAAACAAAAAATGTAAAATTACAGACAATTAACAGTTCACAAATTGTTGATTAATGTATAAATATGTGTTAGACACTGTAATTAAATTCTAAAAGAATAAAGTACTTATGAAAACTGCAGAGTAGCTGCTAAATGTATTCTATAGGTACCACAAAAACATGTCAACACAATTCTATTCTGATATAAATTTAATTTTTTTCAACTCTTAAATTTATACTACAAAGAAATGTTTTAGACATTTTAAGATAGAGGGTGAATAAGAGTGAATACAGCAATAAGAATAAAGCCTATCAAAACTATTCCAAAACCTTTTGGAACATGAAAAAATTGTTGAAGCTATTAAACTTTGCTAGAGGTGAGTATTTTGAAGGTGATGAAGATATCTATAACTTGATTTATGGATACCTACATGAAAAATAAAATGTAAAAACTTTTTTAACAGACCTAATTCAATTTACTTAAAACTAGGCAGTATTAAAATATTATATATTATAATATATTTTTTAATTTAGTCATAAAAACAATTCACTAAAAACGAGTATAAATTAACTAACAATTAAATACTTTTTTTATTTCAAATGCAATTTAACGTTTGAACATAAAAATTAATTCACAGTGTTTTGTATGAGGAAACATATCAACTGGTTTAATGGATTCCAAAGTAAAAGGGCGGGTTTTTTTGTTATTAACGACTAACTCTACCAAGTTTTTCATAGTTATTGGACTGTCCGCTTTACATGACACATACGCAAGACTGTTGATCAACCTATTATTTCTAATAGCATTTATGACTTTTGGATCTACAAAAACATTGAAAATTAATAAAACTGTTAAGATGCAAATATTTATGCCAACTTACGTACACCCGCTCTACCAGGATTTAAAACTGTACACAAATCACTGGTCATACTCAATTCATCCAAAACTTGTTTTAATACCTTCAACAAAAAAAAATTAAGACTTGCTTCAGTTTATTAATTAATAAAGTAAACACTTTTATAATTACCACTTCTACTTTTCCTTCAATAAAATCACAGTTAGGTATATTATTTATTTTTGCAGTTTCTTTAGCATCGTTAACCGCTTGTGCCACAGATTCAACACCAATACATGATTGTACATGTTTACTGCCTATTATACTTACTGTACCTATGAAAGAAATTGAATTGTGTAACATATCATTTTTATAAGTTAATATTAACTATTAATTGTATAATATAATTATATTTTGAAGAAATCATACCAGTGCCTGAACACAGATCTAGCAAAGTAGATGTCTTTGTTGGATTCATTAATTTAAATAATTCATCATACAAAACTTCAGCAGTTAATGTATTAATTTGAAAAAATGAGTCTGGAGATATCCTGAACTTAAATCTACATAAATCCTCATAAATGTATTTATTGCCATCAACAAGAATAAATGTTGAATCTTTTGAACTTCTAGTGTGCAAGCTAAACGAGTCGAAACAAACTCAATTAATTATTCTAATATTTAATTCAATACAACCAGGCCCGACTCAAAAGGTAAGCAACATAGGCTCATGCCTAAGGCAGCATTTTACAATTTTATAAATAATTTTTAAACATTTTACATGTAAGAGGAGACATAACACAAGTTTGCCTAGGTGTGTTAACACACTTGAGCCAGACCTGAATACAACATTTGTTAATTAACATATTATAAATGAAAATAGAAAAATAATTACCTAGGATGAAAATATAAAGAATGTATATTAATATTAATACTTTTCAAGAAGTCATTAAATCTACGTTGTTCATCCAACATAATTTCATTGGTATATCCTCTGGGATTAGCAACCACAATAACCATTATGTCACCTTTTAAATTACTCCGTACAATAATTCCTCGCCAAAAACCACCATCCATATGATCATAACTAACGGGTAATTCAGATTTTCTAACAAAAGCTTCAAAAACCTTAAAATGAAAAAATGTATGTAAAGATATCTATGTAGTTAGCACGATTATGATAAAATGTAAGCTACTTGAGCAATATCTTTATGCGATTGCTTCATATTAATTAGTTTCATAGTAGGCACACAATAGATATTTCCATTAGATGGATTACTGACAAAAAATCCAAGGGTTTTAGGATTACCATCGATACCAGGTCGAAAGTTAAACTCGTCTTTATTACGGTATTCATCAATTTGTGGCTATTACACACAAACATAAAAAAAGAAA